GAGAAGAAGCCGCCCCAACAATCGTGGGTCGAGGGCAGCCGGCGCTGGGGCGGCCATCCCACGCGCAATGAAAGTGGCGGCCGTGATGGAGGGCAAAGACGGGTGCCTCAACGGCGACGGAGGATCACAAGGGCGGCCATCTTGGGCCGTGTGACGCCTCACTCGGGCGAGCTCGCTTGAGGCTATTGGCCCCCACCACCGACTCCCTGCGAGCTCCAGGAGGAAGCCCTCTCGACCTCCGCGCCCCACCTAGCACGGGGACTCTGGACTCAAGGTGAGAATGGAGGGGAGGAGCCTGACATCGTCACATGAGGGGAAGGAGGGCTCGACGTCATCGGTGAGGTAGGAGAGGAGAGAGATAGCCGTTGGGTGCGATGGTAGGCGAAGAGGAGAATCAGACGCGCGTTAGCCATGCATGACTCCTCAAAATGGCTGCCCTCGGGTTTTTTTAAGCCGGACTCAGGGGTGGTTGGTGACTCCTAGAGCCTGCTAGGGGTTAGCTAGCCGGACCTTATATAAACCACCAAGAATATTGAGCCTTTTTCTTGTGTACCATTAAAAAGATGGCATTTTCCTGGCTACAGCCACTAAAAGTTCGGACTTTCTGATTTGATTACCATGACACTTTTATTTCTTTACCCCTCAAGCCATTCCGGCCATTTTACCGTAACAGGTGTGTAACGTGAGAGAAAAGACCGGGTGCCCTCAATCTAGGGAGGATGAGTGAAATTACCGCTTGCCACGTGTGCCACTCCCTCGACCAAACGCTCGAGGCTCGACAACGGCAGGAGTTTGACGGCGAGTCAGCCGTTCCAACCGAACAACACTGCTGGGCGCCCGCTGCCGCTTCGTCTTCCCGGGCCGCAATCGGGCGCACTCGAATCAGGCTCGCGAGGCAGCACGCCGGTGGAGGACGAGGTGAGGGCAAGGTGGTGATGCCAGAGCCGCCCATCACCGAAAGCACGCTGAGCAAGGCGATGGTGTTCGTGTCTGGCGCCCGGTATGATCTCTGATGAACAAGGTGGCGGAAGGGTACACCACTTTTCGCTGCACAAGCCGCGTTGTCCGGCGCGCAAGCGTGAAGCTACGCGTTGGGTCGAAGATCGCCGCTGTCGACGCCTAAGCCCACGGCGGACTATCATGTTCCGGAGCGCGGTGATGGGCTCGTCCCGGCGCCGTCCAGGGCTTCTTCTCGCCGCCGGGTCAACGGGCGGGCCCGAGCATCCTGGAAGCCGGACATCACTGGGCCCGCATGAACATCCCGGGCGGCGGCTCAAACAGATGCACCGTAGTTCGCGGACGACGTGAGCCTCACCTTCTTCTTCATGGAGTCCGGACGTCGGATGTCGACGCCTGACCGAGCGGCATCGCAGCCATCATCAAGAGCCTCGCACTGAGCTGGTCCTCCGCGACGATCGTCGGGCGATCATGACTTCCCGAACACGCGGCATCATCGCTGGCGTGCCGATCAAGGACGAAAGCAGTACCGGCGGGCGAGCTTCTGAAGATGGGCACCGGTACGTGAACCGTGCCCCGCGCCGTCGACCGGGCTGGTGTATCGACCTCGGCGCCGGCCGAAGTACGCCGCCTACCTCTTTCGTTCGGCATCGGGACGACGGCGCGTGAAGATAACGGGCGCCGTATCACCGCGCTTAAGCTGAAGGCCATCACCGACGGGAGCTCAACTACCCGTATTTGGTGGTGAAGCCGCCCCCTATCCGATCACCCGCCCCGCCGTGACCGTGACTAACCCGGAAGACCAACTCACCTCACACGCCGTGGTGGATATGCCGAAGGGCGGTCCGTGGTGGTGCGGCTCGATCTCGCGGTTCACGGTGAACGAAGCGAGCTTCACCGTGATGCAGATTAAGGCGAGCTGCCAAGCGCCGAGGGGAACTCTGGCGGGTGCCAGCGAGCACCGCCGTCCGGAGCCCAATCAGGTGATATCGCCGCCAAGGCGGCCGCGAGGCGAGCTTCCTAACTCAAATCGCTGACGACCGCATGACCGTGCTCGTGTCGTGGTCTCCAAGGAAGCTTACACCAAAAAAGCATGCATTTGCCATGGAAAATACACTTGGTCACCTTCCTGGTGCTCAAACGCTGGTCGTGAGTGGCACATGGTGGCAAACGGCAATTTCACTCATCCCTCCCCGAGGGCACTTCGGTCTTTTCTTCTCGCCGCATACACACCGCTACCAATAAAATGGACGGAATGGCTTGGGGGGCAAAGAAATAAAGCGTCATGGCACCTGGGTAAGTCCGAACTTTTAGTGGCCTCAGAAAAAGCCATCTTTTTTAATGGTACATGGGGAAAAAGACTCAAGAATATTTGGAGTCCGTCTGTGCATGAGCTTTGAAAGTTGAAACCTCGATTATCCATGTTCCAATGCAATGCATACTTGCTTGTCTCCTTGATTTGGGTTAATTGTATTATATATCGTCACATCCGCCTCGGAGATTTTTTTTTTTTTTAATTTTAACGCTTTTGAAAACCAATTTTAAATCTAACACCATCGGTTTTTTTAAAACTAATACTTTTGATCGCGCCATTATCTTGCGCGACCAAATGCTATGCTGCGCGCCATGCATGGTGGCGTGGCAGAGATCACGTGGCGATTTATCGAAATCGCCGATCACGACGAGGCTGGCTCCGCCAAGGCCATCGATCTTGGCTGCCAATGAATGATCCATGGCGAAAAGGCAGCCGATACCCTGCCATGCATGCCTGGCAATGCAACGTCAAATCAAGTCCAATCCAAACCCAGCTCCTTCCCTTCCATTCAAATCATGGCAGTGCATAGCTCCTTCCCTTCTGCGCCCTTCCCTTCCTTTAAATCATGGCAGTGCAACGTCAAATCAAGTCAAATCATGCTATACACACGGCAGTGCATACGCCCCCTTCCCTTCTGCCCCGATCTATCCAACTTAATCTGTGTTTTTTGTACTACTACTACAAGTAGATTGAGCTATCAATTATTTATTTTATATTATATTCTAATCAACTTCAAAACTACACACGGTCAGACACAAATAGTATAGCCAAACGGATAGACTTGTTGGTTGGACATTGATTTCTTTTGTCACATATAAATCTGATTTGAATATTGGAATATGAATGCAAAACAAATAAAAGTTGGATACATATGGTAGCATCCGGATATCTAATAAAAATTAAAGAATATAAATAAATAACTATTTCAATCAAATATAAAACATTCATAAGGAAACTAATACAAAAGTATGGATGCAAAAAATATTAGTCAACAGCAAAAAAAACCAATAATGAATCAATATATGTAAAATTTAAGAAAAAAATAATAAAATAAGGAATCGATATAATGTGAAACTTTATAACAACAAATATAAACTAAATTAAGTCAACATTGAAATAAACTTAGTATCTATATCTCAATATTCGCCCAATTAAAAAGGCAGTCGCTTCCATGCAATAGGCAACCTGACGGGCAGCAATTTCCATGCAATAGGCAACCGGAAAGAGCTTGATATCCGTTTCCATGCAATAGGCAGCAGGTTTTCGCTGGATGTAGTAGTACATGGCGCATGCACATGCGCGCTGGTCACAGATTGAATAGGCGCAGGAGAAAATTCATTCACAATTCAGAAGCATCAAGTACGGGAGTACGAGTAGGTTAGTACCATGGGGTCCTTAAGAGTACTAGGGTGGAAACGGATATCGAGCTGTTTATCCGTCTTGTATAAATTTATATTCGACAAATCTTAAATTTAGATATATGTATATTTCGTGACATGTTTTTGGTATAGAATATACATAGATGCTGAAATGGATATGTCCCGATTTATTCCACATAACTTCTCTCTCTATCCAATTATAGTTTCATATTAAAGAAACCCAAAATATCCAACGATAATGAATATGATGAAACTATTTAGAAAGTATGATGACATATGATTAATGACTAGTGCTATAAAATTTAATATTGACAATAGATACTTAAGTTTATTTCAATGTTGACTTGATTTAGTTTATATTTGTTGTTATAAAGTTTACGATATCGATTCCTTATTTTATTATTTTTTCTTAAATTTTACATATATTGATTCATTATTGTTTTTTTTTGCTATTGACTAATATTTTGCATCCATACTTTTGTATTAGTTTCCTTATGAATGTTTTTTATATTTGATTGAAATAGTTATTTATTTATATTCTTTTTAATTTTTATTAGATATCCGGATGCTACCATATGTATCCAACTTTTATTTGTTTTGCATTCGTATTCCAAATATTCAATCCAGATTTATATGTGGCAAAAAGAAATCAATGTCCAACCAACAAGTCTATCCGTTTGGCTACACTATTTCTGTGTGACCACGTGTAGTTTTGAAGTTGATTAGAATATAATATAAAATAAATAATTGATAGCTCAATCTACTTGTAGTAGTAGTACAAAACACGGATTAAGGTGATAGATCGGGGCAGAAGGGAAGTGAGCTTTGTACTGCCGTGTGTATAGCATGATTTGACTTGATTTGACGTTGCACTGCCGTGATTTGAAGAAAGGAAATGGACTCCTGTTTGCAATAGCGGAGCTGGACTTGGACACGGCTACCACGGGGGCCAGATGTTCTTGCGCAAATCAAATCAGGATGCAAAATAGACGGTGCAGATCGCGCGTGCCCGCGGCGGCGCCAGCGCCAGACCTTCACTGGCGCACGTGGCCTTTCTTTCCTCCGATCCCTCCCTTCCCCCTCTCGCACCCGCGGCGCCGTTTCCCTTACCAGCCGCCGCCGCCGCCGCCTCCTAGGCTTCACCGCCGTCAACGCCGGCTCCGCCGCCGCTTCTTGGACATCTCAGTCGAGCGCCCCCGCCGCCCCAGGTCGGGGGCCGCAGCCTGGGGCGTGCGCCCTCGACCCCGCACGGCCGCCGGAATCTGGCGGATGCGCCGCGGATTCTCCTCCTCGCCGCCGCGCCGTCATTCATGGCGAGGCGTCGCCGGGTGGTACCAGAGCCATAATCCATGCTATTCAACATCCCACACTGCAAATCACAAGCTCCTGTAACCGCCGCCGCCGCCGTCGCAGCTATCTCCAGCCCCCGCTTCTCCTCCGCGTCACTGCCCCTGCCGCTGCCGGCGCTGGTACCGCCACCTCCTACTCCGCTGCCCGAGGAGAGCCCATTCACCGCGCTCCTCGCCTCTGATCCCGCGCCGCCGGAGCCTCTCCGCCAGGTGCTCGCCACGGGCGACGTCCACGCCGCGCCCGCGGCCTCCCGGGCCTCGCGCGCCAGCTATTCCGGTGGGCGGAGGCCACCCCGCGCGCTTCCCCGCTCCGCCTCCGCGTTCGCCGCCGTCCTCGTCCCGCTTGCCCACGGCAACCACATCCGGGCCGCCTACCCTGTCTCGCTTCGCGCCCTGCGCCTCGGCCTCCTCCTCCCTGTCCTGTCCCTCCTCCTCTCCGCACCCCTCTCTCCCGCCCTGCTCTCCCTATTGAGCCTCCTCCTACGCCTGTCCGCCAAGTTCTCGACGGAACGCGAGGCTCGCGACGGAACGCGTGGTGGCGGGCCACGGCGTGGCCCCTGATGTCAGGGACTGCAACCGCGTGCTGCGCGTGCTCCGTGACACGGCCAGGTGGGACGACGTCCGTGCTGTATACGGAGAGATGCTCCAGCTCAGGATTGAGCCGACCATTGTCACATACAACACTTTGCTGGATTCTTTCCTGAAGGAGGGGTGGAAGGACGAGGCTTCCATGCTGCTCAAGGAGATGGAAACCCAGGGGGGTGGTTGCTTGCTGAATGATGTCACGTACAGTGTGGTGATTAGTTTTTTGGCCAGGGAAGGTCATCTGGAGAACGCGGCGAAGCTGGTTGACAGCATGCGGCTGTCCAAGAAAGCCTCATCCTTTACCTATAACCCACTTATCACTGCGTTGCTTGAAAGGGGTTTTGTACAAAAGGTTGAAGCTTTGCATATGGAGATGGAGAATGAGGGCATTATGCCTACAGTGGTGACATGCAATGCCATCATTCATGGGCTGCTTAAAAGTGAGCAGGTAGAGGCTGCGCAGCTGAAATTTGCGGAAATGAGAGCAATGGGCTTACTGCCAGACCTGATCACGTACAATTCTTTGCTAAATGGATATTGTAAGGCAGGTAATTTGAAGGAGGCGCTTTGGTTGCTTGGCGATTTGAGGCGTGCAGGTTTATCGCCAACAGTTTTGACATATAACACTCTTATAGATGGTTATTGTAGATTAGGAGATTTAGAGGAAGCTAGGAGATTGAAAGAGGAAATGGTAGAGCAGGGGTGTTTTCCTGATGTTTGTACATATACAATTCTCATGAATGGTTCACATAAGGTGAGGAACCTTCCTATGGCAAGATAGTTCTTTGATGAGATGCTGAGCAAAGGTTTGCAGCCAGATTGCTTTACCTATAATACAAGGATTTGTGCGGAGCTAACCCTAGGGGATACTCCTAAGGCTTTCCAGTTGAGGGAGGTGATGATGTTGAAAGGAATATATCCTGATACGGTCACATACAATGTTATTATCGATGGACTGTGCAAGACTGGTAACCTGAAAGATGCCGAAGATTTGAAGATGAAGATGGTCAGTGATGGTTTACAGCCTGACTGTATCACATACACCTGCTTGATTCATGCACACTGTGAAAGAGGACTCCTAAGGGAAGCAAGGAAACTTCTTAATGGCATGGTCTCAGATGGTTTGCGACCCTCTGTTGTGACGTACACCATATTAATTCACACGTGTTGTAGAAGAGGAAACCTTTATTCAGCATATGGTTGGTTCCGGAAGATGCTGGATGCGGGAATTGAACCTAATGAAATAACATATAATGTGCTCATACATGCACTATGCAGGACAGGCAGAACTCTGTTGGCTTATCATGATTTTCACGAGATGCTGGAAAGGGATTAGTGCCAAACAAATACACGTATACTTTATTGATAGATGGGAACCGTAGAGAAGGTAACTGGGCAGATGCAATGAGATTGTATTTTGAGATGCATCAAAATGGTGTTCCTCCAGATTATTGCACACATAATGCATTGTTCAAGGGATTTGATGAAGGCCACATGTACCATGCAATCGAGTACTTGGAGAATATTGTTTTGGGGTGAATGGATTGGCCTCTCTGAAAGATTGTCCTGCTGGCCTTGCATCACAGATATTTCCTGTAAGAACTTTCTCATGTATTGCAAACTTCTCTTCATCAGTGTACCATTATTTAGCTTTGCTCATTTCTTCAAGCATATTTTACTCTTGAGTTCAGTCCGGAGATGATATGGTGTTTGTGGGCAATACCTTTCAAAAGGGAAAGAAAAAGAGAGTTTGAGACAATGTTCTCTGAGTTATGTTGTTTGGTGCTTTCAAAAGGATAGTTACGCACAAAAATATCTCCTCTTGCTGCTCAGGGGATCATAGATGGAGTTTGGGGGGCAACTGTATCAAAAGATGAAAAACAAGAGTCTGGAACCATGATCTTTTAGATAAGCAGTTGGGTGCTTTCCAAAAGAATAGTTGAGCACAAGCAAGTCTTCCTCTTGTGGCTTAAACCGTGTCAGATTTCTTTGCTTGGCATTATACTCATGGAGATATGTTTTTTAATTGGAAACTGGGTGGCAGGAACGCGCTCCGGTTTATGAAGATCTCTCATGATATTCTGCCCTTTTGTTATTTTCTTTTGATAATATGTACTGGAAACCTGACCGCCATGAATTCCTTATACCAACTATGTCAAATAGTAAATGGCTGTGGGCCTTTTGTGACTGAGCTTTCTTCAGTTATACATAGGATTTCTCTTGGTAAGAACATTCCAAGAATCTTCTGTAATAAATGATTTCTTGTTTCACCAATTTTTCCATAGGCATGTTACAATATATTGACCTGTCAGATCTGCAGTGCTCATGGACTGAGGATTTTCATGATCTTATCATGTCATGCTCCTAGAGTACTAGAATTATTTACCCTTTTGATTGCCTCTTAGTGCCATTTGTATTTTTTACTTTGTTCACTGTTTTTTTTGCCTCTTAGCGGATTCATTTATTATTTAGGTCATTAATACAGTCTTCAATGCACACCATTGACATTGATTTTCTGAATATCTATACTATAATGCTAGTAAATTTATGATGGTGTTGATGTAATTTTCATGATAACTCGTTAATGTTTCCATCTCACAAAATTGAATACCTTTATAGTACTTCCTCTGGTTTGGTTTATAAGGCATAGTCTGACATAGCACGGTCTCCTAAATTATACTTTGACCATTCATTTATATCATATTATATTGTGTATGATTATAAACTTATGATTCTTGGATAGTATATTTGCTTACAAATCTAACAGTATCAAGTTTGTATTACAATAGTTAAAAATGTTGGTCAAAGTTTACGAAGTTTGACTGTTGACATACACAAAATGCCTTATAAACTGGACCGGAGGGAGTAATTATTGAATTTTGAATTTTTTTACTACATGCTTTCTATGACGACATAAATTTTGGACCAGAGTAAGGGACAAGTACTGACGACACACGTGCTGTCTTAATTATTTGATATATGCTGTAAAAAAATAGCTTAAGCTGACAGTATAGCTATCATATTTTGAATTAGACAAGTCTTGATGCTGTAGGATTACAACCTCAGGGAAAAAATAAAACTAAATAGTTGTTTGCAGCTGAAGTTCTCAGCATTTTGAAAATGGATCTACTGTCAACAGCTGAGGTATCTTCTCCAATCCAAGAGTGCCTTGAGAATTCAGTTGGTCAGCATGGACATATATCCACCTTGTGGGACTTCATGATACTTGATCCATGGAATGGAAGCTTCTTGATACAGAAGTACAGAACTCTCATTTTGATTAAACAGATTGGTAATATTCATTGGACAAACTCCGAACTTCCAAAAGACAAGTAAATCATGGTGGGTTGATTCACAAAAGCCTTGTTGCCTTGATTTATTCTGAAAAAAAAATGGAATACAAATCAATGTTATGTCGACATATGTTAGAAAGGGCTAGGTTATAACATTGCTTTTGGTCAACTTTTAATACAAATTTTTCATTTTTTTTCTTCGTGTAACTTTCATGTTAGTATATTGTTGTCTCTACGGCATGAACACATAAGAAGCTAATCCTTGTATTGCGTGTTCAATTTACAAGCTCTGAATTACTATTTTGTGTGTTACAACCTTTATTATATGTTTTATATCCGAGGCTGTGATTTTCCTCAATAGTTTTTTGGCATTGCCATCATCTTCTGAAGAACAACCTTCCATATCATGCCTGCAAAATATTTCAGGGTGGCGCATGGCTCCTGCAGCAGAGGGGAGCCACCTCTGGGTCATCCACTGGTAGAGCATGGAAGGTGTGTTGTTTGCAGTCCAGAGGTCAGAGGGACCTCTGCTATGGCACAATTAATTTCTTGAAGGTCTGCCTGGACATTTTAAATGGGAAAGAAAGCCACCAATAGTTGATAGTTGGGACGATTAGTGCAGCATATACAGCTTTACTCTGAAATCTGAATTCTGAGTTGCATATTTCATTAACATGTATTTGGTTGTATCTATGTGTTTGCCTGTGAGGTATATACTGGAGGCATCCCCAAATAGAGTATCCTCCCATCCAGACCCCAAGACATATAACTTCTGCCCAAGATCCAGCTGGTCAGCCATCTTCTTGATATCCAGTTCTTTGCTCTTGACATCCCTTCTGGGATTGGGGTCACTTTCTCCATACTCAGATCTATCAAAAGAAACTAAGTACATTCCCAATTTCTCCATAAGCTCCTTTATTGGCAAAGAAACCAGTAAGCAAAATATGGAGAGAAACCAACATTTCGCTTAAGTGTCCAGTGCTCTGTGACTGTGCTTTACCTTGGAAACAGGCAGGGTAAAGTCCTTGGTGCCTTCAAATGCATGTACTGTGGATCTTGTACCTGGCCTTGTCTTTCTGTATTCTGTCTTCTCTGTATACAAGGTAACTTTCCATCCCTGAGCTTGATCCTGGTAGATGTAGATGTCAGAGGATGCCCACCTGGTGAGCCACAACGTTTCAGAGACTCAGAGGTGGTCACTAGAGAGTTGCCGGAGTGCCCAGCTGAGGAACACAATTGGCAGAACAAATACTAATTTACGAGCCATTTTCTCCAGATCTGGTGCTTTAAGGTGAGAGAAGACAAATGTGAATATAGCTTTGAGTGGCATGGAAAGCATGCATTGTTGGCTGTCCTTTATTCCATTGCTGAGTGCTGATGTGCTTGCAACAGATGGCTTCCCATCACTGCTTTACTTATTTATTTGTGTCTGCATCTTTTGCTTTATTATTTTTTTAGCGTAAAATACAGCAGGGGAAACCCCCACTGTGAGATTTTATAAATATAAAAGGGTAAGAACTGTACAGGGAAACAAGCACAATAAAAACCACCCAAGAGGCTGAGAGAGCCACTTGGCAACCAGAAAAACTAAGAAAAGGCATCTATACAAAGGAGGAAAGAGGAGCCTGATGATTTTTTTTTCTCAAAAAACTTTATTCTGTTGATGATTTTAGACATGTAAATGTTATATCGATGTGGTCTATTTAGACCCAGATCTATGTTCACAGTTTGAAAATGCAGCATAAAAATTTGAATATATGCTCTAATCTGCAAAATTTCAAATTTCTATTATGCAAGCATGGTGCGTGACAACTGACGTGGGCACATTGAATTTTGCATGTTTTAGTGCAAGGATGATTGGCACGGTTTGCCTGACTTTACGGTGCTACTCCTGGGAGATGTGATGTTGCCTCCTGATGGTATAATGATGATACGTTGCATTGAACTGAATGAGTTAGGTAGTTTGACCGGATCCTAGATTTTAAACTTTTTTCATGAATTGGCTTATCTGACAGGTTTTGCTCTTGTGTTGCTGTTTGTGTCTTGAGCAGGGTGGTTGCAATTGCGAGATATCACTGCTCCGAATAAGAGATAAGATTTGCAATGCAGTTGTAATACAGTCCTAGTCATCTCTGAGTTGTTGGTGATCGCTGCCTCGCTGGGAGATCAGACATCAGAAGTTGCTTAGCTCAGTAAATTATTCAGAGAATTAGAGGGGACCTCTTGCTCTCTGGTGATGATCAGAGCTGCAATCTGCACCCTGCATTCATGATCTCTGCTCTGCCCGATGAAGGCGTCATTTGCTTTCAATGCGAGTGGGTACTGAAAAAGAATCTCTAAAGATCACCAAAATATTGACCTGGTGAACTTGTAAGTACTGAGCCTCCAAAGTAGAGAGGGACTAGTGTGGTGACTGCCTGACTGGTGAGTGGTGACACATCCTAGATGCCAATGGTCGCTCAGAGGCTCCAAAAACTGTGACCATTGTCGCCTGTCAGGGCACATTGATAGTGAAACAGCACTGACCTGGTCAAAATGACCTCAGACTTTCAAGTTGGTACTGCAACCAACCGAACTGGATCCCAGATCAGAGGCCATTCACCCATCTGCCCACTTCTGTGGATTCGTGTATAGGATCACAGATTGGGATCCCAGCTCAGAGAGCCCATTCATCCATCTGCCCACTTTGGATTGGCGTTTGGGTCACAGATTGGCACTTGTTGACCTCATTGTTGACAAAGACTCAGTGCTCAGGGAATGCCCACAACACTGGTATTCTTGCTTTAAGAGATCTATTTTGACATTGTAAGATTGCATTATGCATACAGAGATCAATCACGACTGGTGGAATTTTAGGGCATGTCTACTGCACACACGGAGTGTTTCTTGAGTGCTGACCACCCCCATTGTTCTATTTGCTGGATGGAAATCTTCGCATGCCTTCATCTGCATCTTCTTCCACCTTGGGCCATTGACAGTCTCATGCGATTTTACCCCACTGGCGCCATGCTGCCTCCGGTCACTAACCTTGAAGCCCCCAAATCCTAACCTTACTTCTCTGGAATCGACAAAGATGCTTCAAACACTCAAAGTGAGCATTAGCTTCCCCACAATTTTTAAGTTTAGGCGATTCAGAGGGACTTGTAGCAAAACTGAAAAGATATCTTCTTGGTTGTCTTATAACTGAGATGCTTGTACGGGTGTCTCATGCTCTTCAAGTTTGAACAAAATATTTCTTTTTGGCTACTGATACGGACAACGTATGTACACACAGCACACTCATATACCCTTGAGTGCACCCCTATTATACGCTACCAAAATAAACCAGCTGAACAGAATCATTACTACACTACGAGGTGGTTCTTGGAATCCTAGTCAGTACTCCTATAAGATAATTAACATATACTTAGAAAATATCTCAAAATTAAAATGGTATATTTGATGAATTAGATGTTTACGAGCATAACTTCAATATAACCTCTATTTGCAGGATTGGATATGAACATAAAAGACTCCATGCAATTTGCAGTGTGTCAGCATTTAACACACAAAGATTGCTTGAAGATATGAACATACGCTTGCTCTCTGCTAAACCTGTGGCTTGCCGTCAAATGGGCTTAACATTTGACATTTGATATATCAAAATATTATATAGCGTTGACTGCCCAATCCATGAACCAAATCTGCACGGAACTAGTCCCCTGTCAACCTCCACAATCAAAACATTGAAGAGTATTATATCTTGTTTGCTTGGATACTGACTTGTACGCAACCAGGAGGAGACACATTGATCCATGGAGATTCTTTGGGGGCATGACCTCTTCCTTCCAAAGTCTTCATGCCATGATCTGAATATCTATAATTGCCTCCCTGCATTGGCCCACAATGATCCTCCCGTCAGTATGGATGCAGGTTGGTTGGTTGGTTGCCACAATGGTCCTGCCGTCAGTATGCTCAGTGGACGGCTCCTTTTTATCGAGGCACCTCAAACTTGTCAAATAGCAGCTTATGACAACAACCAAGAAACATCGCCATGTGCATTGAAGTAAAAAATGGCTGTTATGCCCTAGAGAGAGATAAAACTCACTAACAAAGTTGAATGCTGATAAGCAACCTTTTGTTTGTGTTTATATAAAACAAACTTCTTAAGTTTACTATGTTTTATTACATCGTCTAAAATAAAGCAAATTTTCTGGCCCATTCATGTTGTTTTTGTACAGGTTACTAGCAAAAAATTACTCACCGGAGAAGCAAACATTGGTGATCTTGCCTGCGTTTGAAGCTTGCTCACAAGCCAGCAGGCAACAGACAACATACTGACCAAAAGATGCATATGGTACGAAACTGGCCAAATATCCATTATTGGTAGACAAAAAACATTGGTAATCTTCATCACCTCCCCCAAAAAAAAAAAACTTGATGGGAGCAATGTGAAAACACTGAAATCAGTAATTAGTAAAATCAATGCAAACCATTTGATTCAGGGATGAGAAAGCCCCAAGCTAATATTGCTACCATTGGTTGGAACAGCTACGAGATTCCACCACTACCCCAGCTAGGTGTCGAGCAAATATCATGGCATTTGGCCAGGAGCAGAAAATTGTCACCAAACTGAACTTGGCTCCATCTCTACCACTAGTGCATTGTGCCAAGCAGGCATGATGGCGTTTGACCATAACAGAAGAATGCATGAACCTGTATTTGGCTCCACCACTTATGGAAATCTATAAAAATATTTTAATGCCTCAATCAAGAGGAACCTATGAGCTTTTTATAATTAAATTGACCTCTCAGCACTAGACAGCACATACATGATGGAGTGGTGGCGGCACTGCATTCTGTTCCTTTATTCTCTTCAGTGACTTGTTACAGTATTCCAAAGAACAAAATAAACAGATATAGTATAAATCAGATGCTATTACCGTTTGAGCAAAGATTGTAAAAGCAATAGAACTCAGACCATCCCTTTTCCTTGACAGAAAAAGAGACAGCTTAATGAAGTTTGCCTAATAAACAAATAAGCCAGCAAAGATGAACACCTGAGTGTCAAGAGGCTTCCACGCAGACAGTGCAGCATTTTATCTCATTAATAATTTACAAAAATATTATAAAATAGGAGGATAAGAATATCAACAATTCAAAGTAAACATCAAATCAAGCATGGCAAATGCAATTGATAGTTTCACCAAAACAATGCATATAGTTCCAAAGAATCATATTCCTTTTTCCCATTTAGCTCCAGAAAGCCATACTTCGTAACTTGCCACGAACAAGTCCATCTAAATGTTTCTTTTCTTTTCATCATAAGGTATTTAAGTGTGTTCACTAGGAATCAGATGCTAGTATATATATTTCCAGAATAGCTCATATGTTCTTTTTTTGCTTCAAAAAGTGCAGAGCCAATGCATAAATTTGATAAGGTGATTAAGCATCATATTCTGCAGAGCACAAAGGCTTCCACGTTGACAGTGTGGCCTTTTTTTGTCTCCAAGTTAATGAAAATAAATGTCCCTCCTTATTTTCATTTACCTCCACAAAACCGTACTTCTAAACTTGCACAAAAAGTTACATCGAGATGCCATTTTTAAGGGAAAAAGGTAACAATAAATTCTTGAAGTGCGCTCTCCAAAAATCAGATGGTAATAATGATTTTCATAATATCTCACATGCTATTTCTGAAAGGTACGGAGATAATGAGAACAATTTGATAACATGATTATGTATCAAATCCTGCAGAATGAATTGTCATTTAGACCCTACATGTAGGTAGGTGAGCATGTTTTCCAACAATACCAGATAGTTTAGCACCGTAATGTTTACTGATCCACTTTCCTGGGGGTGTGTTATGTTCTAGTACAATGGTATTCTTGAGGACTCCATGGTGATCTAGAAGATTTTGTTTCAGTCATGAAAGAATATCTACAGTACGTTCATATCAATAATAAAAGAACAATTTTGCACATTCTAAATGCTTTATCCCTAGAACTTGAAAGAAATTACATGAACCATTGCTTGCATAGATTCTATCTGTAACTGTTAGAGAATTTAAACACCTTTGTTGGCTTTCTTGGAAAAAGGGGTACATCTTTCCTGTAGCCTTTTTAGCTGCATCCACAGCAAACCCAACTAAAAACACACACATGCCCCACATCCTCTTCTGATCCTACAATTGGCAGAAGGATCCAAACCACACTATAAATAGAGGCTTGTCCTCCCACAAATGCCCAATAAGCAGCTCATCCCACATCGTTGAGTGCATTAGCTTGCTGCATTCAATAAGAGTATCAGTGTGCAAAATAAAATACTTGACCCTCCAACCATGTCTAGATCTGTGGAGTCTCTTGTAGTCGTTCGGGTGATTGGAGAAGTTCTCAACTTCTTTAGCCCATGTGTGAATATGGTAGTGACCTACAACTCAAACAAGCTTGTCTTCAATGGCCATGAGATTTACCCATCAGCAGTTGTATCTAAACCAAGAGTAGAGGTTCAAGGGGGCGACTTGCGGTCTTTCTTCACATTGGTTAGTAGTTAAATACTTGATCCTTGTCTCCAAGTATTCTATACATACTATCCCTTCCCTAATCGCCATAGTTCCTAAAATTTCAGGTTATGACAGACCCCGACGTCCCAGGACCAAGTGATCCATATCTAAGGGAGCACCTTCACTGGTAATATTTGGCATTTCTTACCTTGGGGATGTCAGTATGTTACAGAGGAATAGCACCACATCTTGCATATATACAAACAGCATATTTTCTGAGCGCTTAGAATGAGAATGCTATGGCTAAGTGTTATCGTCCTTTACATTTGCAGGATCGTGACTGATATACCTGGGACAACAGATGTCTCATTCGGTAGGTATTTCCTCTGCTTTGTGCTTAGTCTATTCCTTGTTCTAGTTGTTCTTCGAGTTCATAATCATGCATTTTTCAGGGCGAGAAGTCATAAGCTATGAGAGCCCAAGACCTAGCATTGGTATCCACAGGTTCATTTTTGTTCTCTTCAAGCAGAAGCGCAGGCAAACTGTAGCTGTGCCATCCTCCAGGGACCATTTCATCACACGACAGTTCGCTGAGGAAAATGATCTTGGCCTCCCTGTAGCTGCTGTCTACTTCAACGCTCAGAGAGAAACTGCTGCTAGGAGGCGCTGAAAATTCCAGTTCTCACTGTTCAAGTTATGAACATGGGCCTCTGAATCTTCTTGTACTAAGCCAACGATCCTATCCTACATTAGATGCTCCTGGGTCCTACATTATAATAAATAAACCAGAAGCATTTTGAAGATTGTATTAGTTTGTTTGTAAGTGACAAAGATTGAGAACTATGAATGGTCCATGATATTGGTCAAAATTACATGTATAAGGCAATCTATCACTGAAAATCTAAAACCAGGGTTGGTGGATATCCCCCACAGGCAAAAGTTCGTTTATTGTAGGTAGTATAATGCCTCTTACCAGCGTCACACTATGTTCACTTTTTTGTGGCATGCAATCTCCTGGAAACAGAAAAATTATTGATCTTGTCATGTCACCTTGTAGAACTATGAAGACACGCCTAACTGCATTGAACTGCTAAGTTGTTGGAGACATAATACAAAAGGGAGATATCCAATTTATCTTGGGGATAACCCACAAGAATGTTGAAGGTATACTTTATCCCGTTGTCTTCTCTTTGTGCTCACCATTAGTACAACACACAAACAAACTATTTTCTCTTACAATTTAATTTGAACGACTGTACTTGTGTGTTTTTGTTGCTGCAGAGTGAACCCAGATCTCTTTGTTAGTTGAAAGAACTCTGTACTAGTCATATGCTTTTTGGATACCTATGCCACTAAAATGCAGACAGACAAATGAGAAATAAAAATAAGAAAAGATATTGAAAGGAATAATAATGCTAAAACTTTATAAAAACAAGCAGAATTTCTCACAAAACTGTCAAGCATATAAAGAAATATGCAGTGGAAAACATTAGTCCAATTTGTAACTAAAACTCTTCTAAATTGATA